ATTCTGGGAGTTGAAGTCCACTCATCTTAAAGTGGCCAGGTTTGGACAACACTGCTTTAGCCCATCCCATTCTCTAGATCAGGGGGAAACAAAGGCAGTCTGTATGCTCCTTTCCAATCTTTTTATTGGTGCTCCCCCCCCCCAAAAGTTACCTTGCCAAAATTTAGTAGCAATCTGCCAAATCAGTGCAAAGAGACTTGGGAGAAAGCAGGTAATAGAATCAATGTGTGATTTTTTTTTCCCTTCCTAGTGTTTTCCTGTAGGTGCAGGGTCTGCTTTTTTTCAGATCAACCAAATATTGATCCATTGGTTGCCACAAGAATTGACCAACTGGCTTGTCACCCAAGCCTGACATTGTGGGCTGGGAGAGAGGGACTGGCCCAAAGTCACCCAGCCGACTTTCATGCCTAAGGCGGGACTAGAACTCACAGTCTCCTGGTTTCTAGCCTGGAGCCTTCACCACTAGACCTCTCAGTAGAATAAATTTAATTTGGGGAATTAACTAAAGTCATCACACCTTTATTTATAGTAGAATAAATGTGTGATGCCTTTAATTAATTCCCCAAATGAGCCAAATGTTCCAGCCCTGCCCCAAAGACATCATCATATCAATGCTATCATTGGAAGTTTGCCCAGGACACTTCCTCTCTCAGCTAATCTTAATATTATACATCCAGTGATAGGACTTTCCCTTCAAGGGACACTAAGGAAGGTTTCTCAGATCTGGAGTCTCTGGACACGGGTGAGGCATAAAGTAATGTTTGCTCAAGAGTGGCTCTTTTGATAAGCATCTTCCACAGAAGGCCTCCAAGCCACCTTGGGTTTGAAGGGGCTTTCTGTCAGAAGGTTGAACAGGATGTCACATCTCATTGAAGGTAAAGCAGAGAGCAGGTCCAGGGAGTGAGCTAACGTCTGCTCTGCAATGGCTGGTTAGAACCAGAATGTGGGGTTTCCCCATGAGAAGCTTGAGCCAGGCATGGCAGGTTTATGCAATCAATTCTTGCACAAGACTGTCATTTTCTCCCTCGGTGTCCACCCAGGTATTAAACAGGAGTGGCCACTGGAGAGAAAGTTACAATAAGGGTGTCCCAAGGGGCAAGCAAGAGGCTTTTGTAACCCTCCAATGGGTCTGTTTACATAATCAACAGGAGGTAGTAATACTGAACATGCCCCCTGTATCCAGCAAGAGAAAAAAACCCAGCCTTAATTAGAAGGGTGTCATGAGGGTGTTGGCAGGTCTCAAGGTAGCCATCTTTGGGGCCAGGGAACACTTCTGAAAAGATGATGTAGATGTCTTCATAAAGTGGCCACCCTGGAGGAGCTTATTTGCTCACAAAAAGGTTGCAGTGGTTGGCCCGGATTAAGGGAGGGTAGTGGTGAGGAAGTTGGATCTCTCCACTTGACAAGTCCAAGTTCCCATTAAACCATGGGCCTCCTGGAGGATTCCAAGCCAGCCTTTCTCTCTCTATTTCCCTCAGTCCAATCTACTTTCCAGAAATGTAGTTGTGGAAATACTCTGAAGGGCAACTCCTATGTAAGACATCTTCCCCACTCGGAGAAAAGGCAGGACAGAAATAAATTAATGCTGGCATGTAGCAGGCTAACTTCCTATTCATTTCACAATTTCAAAGTAAAAGCATATTTAACAAAACATTAAAGTCAGATGGTCAGGGCCCTGTAGGCTTCAACAGAGGTGTCCATATACACCACCATGTCCCTCACTGATGCAATATATTATTTTAGTAGATTATTCAACTCTGATTATGGATTCACATCTGTTGTGATCTCAGTGACTGTCTGGGCCAATTAGGCTGGGCCTTTCACTTCCAAGACCCCTGCCCTCTAGAGAGAGGTATCTAAGCCAGCTTATCCCAACCTTGGCAACTTGTGTGAACTTCAACTCCCAGAATTCTAAGCAAGGACCATGCCAGCTGAGGAATTTTGGGAATTGAAGTCCACGCTTGTAGAAGTTGCCATGGTTGGGAATACATAATACATAATAATATATGGTGTTAGCTGATTCAGTTGTCTTACCTTGCCTTTCTCGCACGCCTACCGACAGAACGGTAGCACAAAGAATATAAATCCCACCTATCACACCAGCTGCAATCATATAGGCATTTCTCTGTAAAAGGATGGAAAGAAGAGTGAAAAAAAAAGAATGAAACGGTCCAGATGAGATGCAATTCTTCAAGCAGGACATCTTTGCAGCAAAGGTTCACTGGATACTGACTTGGCAATGAAGAATTAAACGTTTTATGATCTGCTCCAGGAAAGGAGAACAGCCTTCAACTGTCATTATTGTTATATTAACAATAACAATATTATATTGTTATTTATAGTATTAACAACAATATCATATCATAATCTAATCCTTCCCAAAGCAATTTCACACACAGTCGCTTTGTGTGAGATGGCTAGCTATATAAATGTGACATATAAATAAAATATATTTCAATTTCAATTTTCATTTATTATGGCCATCAGCCAGCAAACCTCCCCCCCGCCAAACAAATTAAATTAAAAGCAGCTACTTATATAGAAAGCATCCTGAGAATTTGACTGGGGCATGATATAAAACTTCAGCAACCTAACAAACATCCTGGTTGGCTTCACATGCTACAATAAACCATGGCTTCTTTTAAACATGATTGGTTCCACCATTCATTGTGGCCTGGTTTGGGTTAGTAAGCCAAAAGCCAACAGATTGTATTTGATTGCCAGAACCTAGCAATAAATCCCACATGGCCATATACCATACTGATTCTTTTAGCTAAATGATGATCCCCAGAACCATAAGAGGGTGGATGTTTCATTTTCTTCATAGTATTTTACAAGTTAAACTATTAATTAATATCAATAATCCCAGAAAACCAACAATTTTTCCAGATAAAATCAAACACTGATTAGAACAGTGTTTCTCAACCTTGGCAAAACTTTTTATTTTTGTAGGGTTTCTCTACCCGAAAATCTAGCTGTTGGATTGTGGGTGG